TTTAATTTTGTCCAATTATTGAAATGATTTTTGACTTCTAGTTTGATTTCATCCTTATCAGTAATAACTGAGTCAGTCAGAATAATATGACTTAGATCAACTAGTTCAGAGTGTCTACTGAGTATACTATTAATCATCTTTGTTGTATTACTATTGAAGTTATCATATCTTCATTGAATATATTTATTTATACTTGTTTTTGTATTTGCTAGAGGTGTTCCGTATTTGGTAAGGCCAATATCTTATCATTTAATCGTATCCTGTGTAATTCCCGCTTCTCTTACTACTCAGTTAATTATTGTGTAACCCTTTCAAGCAATTCCATTACACTGCATAATGATGTTGATTTCTGCTATACTCTTGCCAATATGGATTTACTTTTCTGTACTACCGTATAACCAACTTCTGTGACACTGACTGTCACATGTAGTGCCACCTCTCCACAAGATAGAGCTGCTTCCAATAATTCCTATTCCAACGTCGTACTTCACTTAGACTTCTCATAGGGCTTCACATTCGACCATTGACTACTTAAATAAAGTTACAGAGTATTTTTTGCCTCTAGTCGGTCTTGAACCGTTGACCTTATTCGTGAAGGGTTGGCAGCTTAACCACTAAGCTATGGGTGCCAGACCCTTTTAAGTATAAATATAAAATCTTTATTTAAAGAAAAAAAATAAAGATATAAAAATATTTTTATTTATTCAATCTATTTCATATGAGAAATCTCGAAAAATAGTAAAAATTTCAAATATTAATAATTGTCATAAATGAAAGAGAGATAATACTCTTGATGATGTTATTATAATATTATCTAAAAGATATAAATATATGTTTTCTACTGAACAAGATAAATTTTATAAACTTTTAAATAATATATCTAAAGAACGAATATATAGTTGTAACCAAAAAATAAAAATTAATAAATATCAGAGATTATAGTAAATATTAATTTTGTAAATTTTATGATAGAAAAGCTATATTACTATATTTAGATTTATTCAATAATCATATTATTTGATAATGCATACATAAAATTTTTTATTTATATAAAAAAAAATATTTTCAGAATAAAAAATAGTATCTTTTGTAATTATTAGAATTTTAGTTATAGCTAATATTATTATATTAGGAATCAAAGTATATCAAGATATAAAAAAATATAAACGAGATCAAAAAAATATATTTAAAAAAAAATGAAAGTAGTCTACCAGAAACTCAAAGTTTATAATACATATGTAGAAAAAGAATTCTGATTTGATGACAATAACAAAAAAATCATTTTTATTTGGCACAAGTTAACTAAAGAAAATGAATTTGAATATTCTAAACTACTAACAAAAGATTTAGAAATAAACAAGAAACTAAACAAAGAAGAAAGCAAGATTCTAGTAGTAAAAACAATTGATAATTTTTATAGAAGGATAATTTATAATTATAATAGTATAGGTAAATTATTTATCAATATCAGATATGCTTCAGAGAGCAATTTAAAAAAATTTATAAATCATAAAGAAAAAAAATTTACATATAGAGTAGAAGAACGTTAAATATATTTTTTTTATTTTATATTTGTAAAAAATATTTTATTAAATAAAAATATATTTTTTAAATAACTAATCATATGAAACAAATAAATCTTCTTCTTCCTTGATATTATAATCCCAATGAATATAAGTAGTTATTATATGAAAAATTTTTTCACCTTTAAAGATAGAATATGTACCAATCTCAGTTATATTAAAATATTCTTGTAAACAATAAGTAGTTTTTTCTACAATTTTACTATTAAGACTATTTTTTTTAATAAATTCACATCTGAAATCATCAGGAATTTTACCTAACTGTTGATAATTAAAGGTTAAATAAAGATAATGTTCTCTATTAATACTTGAATAACTAAAACTAAATTTACAAGGTTCAATTCTCATAAATTTTTGATCATTATAATAAATATCATAATTATTATTTTTATCAATTAGAAATGCTTCCTTTCCAGAGTATTTTCCATCATTAAAGATTGCTATGATTTGTGGTATTGTTTTTTTTTCTAATTCACATTGAAAATTTTTAAAATCCAAGATTTCATTATTTTATTCAAAGAAAAGATATTTATATTGAAAACTATAATCACAATATCTAAATTTAGTAACAATTGATTTCAAATCTTCAGTTATTTTTTTTTAAAGAATATAATAAAAGAAGAAATCAACTTTATTTATATTTTTAATAAAATAGTTTAAAATTTTCTTAGAAAATTTTAAGGCTATAATTTATTTTATATATTTTATCTATTTTTAAAAATTTTAAATATATTCATTTAAAAAAAAATAATTCTTTTGAGGATCAATCATCAGTTGATTATTTGAGAGATCCTCAAGAGGATTATTTGTAAAATCCTCAAGAGGATTATCTATAATCAGTTACATATATCTATTTGAGGATTGTTCGATAAATTCTCAAGAGGATATTTATTTGAGGATTTTTGTGATCAGTTACATAATAGTTTGATAAATTCTCAAGAGAAAAATAGTAATTATTCACTTATATTATTTAAAAAAATATACTTATTTGTTAATGATTAATTATTATGAGAGAAATAATAATTTATGAGAAAAACAAAAAAAATCTTAAACTTTTTTTTTGATATTGACAAATTATCTATAAAAAGGATAGAAATTAACATGTAAAATCTTCATTAAATCTCAGGATTTGGTAACGAATATAGAGTTCTTCGAACTAGTTATTCAGAGAAATAATATCTTTGATCAATTGAGATATAAAGACTAATTTCTCAAAATACTCTCTACTCAGATAAAAAGTATTTCATGAATTATTTGTGATCAAAAATGCTATATCATATTGAAATATAAATTTTGAAAGATCATATATGATTCAATTTGAAAGATATAATATGAAAGAAAGTTTGATATAATGAAATATTCTAAGCAAATACTATTTTTTGAATTCTTTGATTGTAAATGTGAAGGTAGAAAATCAACTAAATGAGAATTTCAACTATATCTTTGGAATTATAATAATCGACATAATAATTGTCAATATCCATTCTTGAGATATTGTTAATATTTTAAGTTATTACTGAGTATTAATAAATCATTACTAGCAAAACAAAAACTTGGAAGCTTAAACAAGAAAGATTCTTTAATGAAGTTTAAAAAATTGTTTCGCATATTAAAACCAGATTATGATATATATTTATAGGTAAAAAATCTTAACAATATAGGTTCTTCAATATATAAGGATGAAGTTAATTTGTTGAAAAATTTTAAAACCTATATATTTAGAAAAAGGAAAAAGAAAAAGATTAATATTTCTGATATGATTAAATCAGTTAAAAAAAGGTTAGATAAATTTGAAAAATTAAATTCATCACAGTTAAAATCTCCAGTATATCAACCTCAATCTCCAGAATATCATTCAAAATCTCTATCCTTATGATTCTATCTAGCATAAATAATACTAAATAGGAATTTAAGTACATAATAAGAGGTACTCAAGTATCAATTAAAAATAATGTTTATAATTTAATAATACCTATTACTACTGAAACTATTTAGCTTTTAGATAATATTTAATTTATTTATTTTTTTTTATTTTTTATTTTTTTTTCAACTTAGGTGATCTTGCTCATTATTTTATTAAGAATAAGCTAATTTAAGCTACAAGTAAAATGCTATACTATTTATA